ATTTTACTATTACTAGGCTTATTTGTCTGCCTGAATAAGAGAGACTGAAGCACGCTGACAGGTAGGAGACAGTGATAGACTCATATCTAAATATTAGTGTTTCTTCGAGCCTCTGTAACTTGTCACGAAACAACCTAAACGAGCAGCATCGTTAGTTCCAGAGAGCTAACGCACCATCACTTAATGACAACCTTCTGGGAGCACAGGCGCAGTGAGTGAGTAATTCGGCATCCTCCAGGCTCGAAGGCTTTCTCAACAGGGAGCCGTTGGGATCTGTTGAGCTGCTCTAAAATCTGTATTTTACATAAATTGTTGTGCATGTGTGCAGGCTGCAAAAGGGGAATGGTTTGACTTGGAGGGGTGGTTGTCTTCCAGTGTCTGCAAGAGCAGAGCCCGTGGAACGGTGTGGCGTTGAAACCGAGTTTTGCTATCCTCTGCTTGCCAGATATTAATTAGTGTTGGATCAAACCATCCATGTTAGGAACAGGATGAGCAATGAGCCATTATACTCCATTTAAGCCTCAAGTCTTGTTTTGTTTAAAGGATTTTGATGCAGAAAAGCAGGGTGACAACGAGCCTGCAGAGATGTTGTGTGCTCCCATGGCGTCGGGTAAAAACAGGGGGGTGAGCCCTGAGACTGGGGGGGGACACGGGATATTTGGGTGTCTGTGCAGGGGACAGGTTCATAGGGTGCCCCTGTAGCGGTTTGCTTTGACGTTTGGTGTTCAGAGGTGGCTGATACCTTTTAAGAAGAGGTGTGCGGGGCTCCCTCTTCATCATCGAAGCACTGATGTTCCCGGCAGTGCTGTGGGACACCGGGAGGTCCAGGTCCTCTTCTGGGGGCGGATCTGGTGCAGGTGGAGGGGGGGATGCTGTCGGTGGGGAGGTCATCCTGTGGTGCGGGTCTCCTCGAGGGGGAGAAGCCTATTTGTCTTCTCCCCACAGGCTGCTCTGGGTGTGTTTAATTACCTTTTCTTCAGATTGCTTCCTGTTGCTAAAGTCTTCTTGTCTGGAGTAGGATGTTCTTAAACTTTAAAGTGCTTAAATATAAATACAGACTTGAACTCTTTTCTGATGAGATTTTTACTCTGAAATCTCTATGTGGAATCATATCTAAGTTTTGCTGTGATTTGGTTATTTCCGTAGCGTTAAACGCCTTCTCTACACTAGACTTGTGAAGAGCCTGCTTGTTACAGGCTGTCTGGCACCAAACCCTCATCCTCTACCAAAAAAATCCCCAAATCCAGCACGTACAAGCTCAGAGCAGGAGGTGAGCAGCACTGCTTGGGTGCTCCTGCAATAGCAGAGCATCCTCCTCCAGCGTCCTGGATGCTCCCAAGGCACTTGCAGGCTCTGCAGGATTGCCTTGTGGAATAGCGATGGGGGAAAATTTAATTTAAAAAACAAACCAACAAAACAAAACCAATGCTTGTGGTTTGGCTGTGGGCAGTGCTTTCTCCAAATAACGAGTCGAAGAGGAGCGGAGCGGGAACCTGGCTCTTCGTGTGGGCTCTGCTGTGGGCTGGGTTAGAAACAAAACGCTGCTTAGCAAACATCTCCGTGCAGCAAAGGGGCTTTTTTTTTTAAATAATACGGCCTCTTGGTTATGTTGCTTGCTTACAAATCTCTTTGCTTTCGGTCGAGAGCTTAGGGGAAACCATTTCTGAACGTAAAACTTCAAAGGGAGGGAACCAGCCGTGAGCCCACGCAGCAGCCGAGCGTGCCTGGGTCTTGCAGCAAGATGTTTGCCTGCACCCAGCGAGTTACTGGTGCTGGCTGCCGCTATGAAATGTTTATTGGGAAGGGCTGGGAAGGGAAGGGCTCGTACGTGCCCATCTCTGCATCCCCAGCCCTGCCGAGGGGATCTGGCGGAGCTGCGAGGTGGTTCCCGGGGGATGGAGGAAAGACGCAGAGACATTTGCTCATCGCCAGCGAGACCCACCTTCCCGTGCCAGGAAAGGTCCGCGACTGTGGCTTTGAAATCCAAACAAGTAAACATTTTGTGTTCCAGAAATGTTGGTATTTAAAGAGAGAAAACTACTTCCAGAGGAAATGTTTGTTTATGGACTGTCCCTCTTGCTTACCGCGGCTGATAAGAGCTGCTCTTGAGCTGTGCCCTCCCTGCAGTCGTCGTTTCAAGAGCCTCAATTCTTTTTATTTTCAAGAGCAATGCGCTTCCAATGTGTGTTTAGATAATGATTCTTACAAATATATTTATTCAAAACAAACACAGTAGGAAGTGACTACAAAGCAGACTGCTTTGGCAGCTGGTGCAAAAGGGAGCTCGCTATTTTTGTGCGTTCGTGGTGGGACAGTCTTGCAACGCGTCCAGGACATCAGGAGCTTTGCCCTGGGAGTTGGCCATGGCAGGTCTGTCCTGCGTCACGGGCTCGGGGTGGTGTGCGTTTGCACCCTGCACTGCCTTGTAGCATCTCTAGGAGTTTTTGGAGAGCTGTTGGTAGCGTGAATTGGCTGCGTGGTGGCTGGGGTGACTCTGCAGATGGAGCCGTGTGTTGCTAACGGGGCCAGCAGCATCCACGCACGCTGGCAAGGGATCACGGCAGGAACAGAAACAACAGCAAGAGCTGCAGGAGCAAGTCAGCGGGTGCTGCACCTGCAAACTGATCGCAGCTCTATGCCCTCCCCATGGGTGTGCAGCCCCTTCAAAACCTCTCCTGAACCGAACTGCAGATATTTCTGGTTTAGGGGAGAAGGAAATTCAGCGTTGCAGATTTTTTTTGCTTTCCCCCCCGAAGCGAGCGGCAGGCACGAAGCTGCCCCCTCCTCGAGGGTGGTGGTGGGAACCAGTGGGATGCTGCGTGAATCCACCGTAGCCTTTTGTTTAACTTGGATTTTACAGCTTTCTCGCAGAGCCTGTTCTGTGATAATCTTGCAAAAACAAACTTCTGCAAGACTTCTGGGGAAACAAGGTGACATAATGCCCAACTCAACAGCGTTTTGGAGAATTACCCTTGCGTGCCTTGGTTGGGCTATGCCAACCTGTCCCCTCTTCTCCTGTGCAAAGCACAGGAGGAGGAGAACTGAGGCAGTGTGGTTTTCTGCACATCTGCATCTCCGTCTAGCTCGGAGCCTTGAGACATGTGGGTTTCGGCAGCATCTTTGCCTTGGATGTAGCTGGTGCATCAGGTGCCCGTGGATGCCCGTGCAGGCTGGCTGCTCGCATGCCCGTTTTCCCAGTGCAGGTATAAAGCTGCTGTTTCAGTGGCCTCCACCTCTCCGTTGGGTTTGGAGAAACCCCGAGCAGCTCACCAAGGGGAGATGGTGTGCAGGGCATGAGGCTTTAAACCTGGCTTCTGTAGGAGACCAGGCTAAAATGGGCCCTGCAGCTCATCCGCAAAGCTGGCTGGTGGGGCTAAGGCCAAGTGAAGAGGTTTCAAAGAGTTCAGAGAGCCTGTCCCAAATCTGACGCAGCTCCAAATCACTCCGATGGGAGCACAGACCCTGTGGGTCACCATCCCTGCTTTTACAAAAGACCTCCCTGCAAAAAAACCCCAAAAAGCTAAAATTGAAAACAAAACAAATCTTGTAAACCCAGGAAATTTGCATTGCTGGGGAAAACAAATTCAGTGAAGTTCTCTAAAGCTGCTTTGTTTTAACCACAGCTTTAAGAATAATATTAAGCTTTTGCATTAAATGCAGGGGAAGAGTACTTTGGAAAGCGAGGAGGCCCTCTGGTTATTTTGGCAACCAGGCTGAGTTAAATTGTTGAGTGCAATAATATGTAGGAGGGTGACATCTTGAAATGTTTCTTAGTTTTAAGTATGTGTTTTGAACAAATGTTTGTATGCCGAGGCTTGGGCCGGTGGGGTTGAAAGGCATATTGGATTATATGCTGTTCGCTCTGTGTAAGCAGTGGGAATTTATTGCTGCAGATACATGTGATGCAACGTGCAAAGATTAGTTCTATCCTCTCTAAAGCGTGATTATTTTGGGTCCTCTTTATACCTTAAATAGATATTCTTCTCATGTGATTTCCATCTTTTTGTGTCAACAGCCCAGGCTAAAGTTGAAATAAACATTGCATCAGCTTAATAGCCCGGGCTCTGAAGAAATCTGCTCTCCGTTGTGGGGATTGTTTGGAAGCCTTTTCATTTTACATTTTTCCAATGTGCAGTGCAAAGATCTCTGAATCCCGAAGCCAGCTCTGTTTCACTGGACCTTTCTTGTGCAGATCAGCATAGTTGATCAACACTGATGAGTCCCATCTGGAGCAGAGCATCAGTGTGGTTCATCGTGTTTAAATATCCTGCTTTTTAGTTTATGGTGAGGATCTGTGGCCTCTTTCAGGGACATTTAGAAGTGAGCAGCTGTTAAAATTTGTTGTGGCCATGCAATTTTTGACTCTCAAGTAGCAGATTTCTCCTTCCAGTTGCAGTTGCAGAGAAAGATGCTGTAACACGGCAAGCCATTGCAGGCCGTCTGGTGTTTTGGCATGGCGTGGTAGGAGGAAGGTTGCCTGATCATGTGTGTGTTCTCGTACGGTTGGACTCAATGATCTTAAAGGTCTTTTCCAACGTAAATGATTCTATGATTCTCATCTGCTCCACTCCCACAGCCAGTGCTGCCAGAGGGGAACAGGGACTTGGAGGAAGAGAGGACCTCAGGACAACCCTGTGGAGCAAGACCTCCTGCCATCTCCTTCCCTCTCCCTAATGTTGTTTCCATTTTTTAATCATTTGCTCTTGTCAGGCTGCAGCCCTGGTGCCAGGGCATTTAGCAGTTTGGAGTCAGCATCATCCAAATGGTGGAAGATGCGTGGGCAAATGTCGATGGAGATGTTTCTATCAAAGCAAACCTTAGCAAAATGAATGATCTGTTTGCTCTTAATGACTTTGTAGGCTGGAGTCGGCAGGACGGGGTGGTATGACTGGGGAACATGGTGTGTCTGTGCTTGTGGCTTGGTTTGAATAGGTTAATGCAGACTTAAATGTTGGAAAGCTCTTCATTGAGACCTTTTGCACCTCTCTTACAGCATCATCATGACAACAGAGAAGAGTCTAGCGGCGGACGCCGACAATTCGGAGCAGCAGCAAGCCAAGGAGGAGGAAGGAGCTGCTGAAACACAAAAGCAAGAGGCTTCCCTAGAAGAAGGGGCTCAGCAGACGTCGGAGGGACAGCCTGCAGCGGGGCAGAAGCAGAAGGCCTCCAACGGCGATACGCCCACGCACGAGGAGCAGAGCAAGAAGGAGCGCCGCACCTCCGAGGGCCGGGGTCTCTCCCGCCTCTTCTCATCCTTTCTCAGGAGGCCCAAGTCTCAGGTGTCCGAAGAGGACAAAGACACTGATGCTCCTAAAGAGGTGGGAGGTGACCAGAAGGACCCGGGATTAGGAGCCAGCCCTGATGAAGACATCCTGGTGAAAGCCCCAATTGCAGCTCCTGAGCCTGAGCTCAAAACCGATCCATCACTAGACCTCCATTCCTTAAGCAGTGCAGAAACACAGGTAAAACACCCTGTTCCATGTGGCATGCTCCCTTCTGTTCTTGAAAACATGTCTTTTCAGCCAAAACTATAAAAAACTTCATATCCTAGGATGGTGAGCTTGATCAGAAAAACTCATGAGATGCTAAAAGGCTCGTGTCAGCTCCCTGTGTTGCATCGCTTGCTTCCCTCTCTTGCATTCCTGTATCAGACTGTCCTGCAAAGTACCTGCTTCTGAAATCACTTCACAGCAGAAATTAAAACGCCCCGTGCTGACTCTTTACTCTGCCGAGGCATGGAAAGTCACATCAGAACTAGGGTTCAAATTCATAAATTCACGACGGAGCGGTTGCTCGTCGGGATGTCCTTGGTGTGTGCAGAATAAAGGCAGGTCAGTGGTGTGAGGTGGGGCTTGCAAGAGGACGTGGATTTGGGAAAGGGTTTCTTCAACTTCAAGGAGCGCAAGCGTGGCATTTCAGGACTTGGTCATCTGTTCAGTCTGGGCTGGTGCTGAGCCTGCCAAATACAAATATTTTCTGCTTATGCATCACGTAGACAGGGATTTCTGCACAGCATGTGGGCTGAACCCAGCTCCTAGTAGCCATCTGATGTCTACTCTTTACAGCCAGGGTCATTTTTCATGCAAAATTTAAAGTTTTTAAAGCATGGTAGAAACTGAGGCAGAGACACCCACGGGGAGACATTCACAAAGCTGGTTATTGGTTTGGGGGTATTGGATGCCCTCTCTTACTCCTTGGGTAACTGCAGCTCTGCCGTTACTAGTGCGGCTTCCCGGAGTTAGAGAAAGGCGGGTGCCCCTTCTCCTGAGATGGGGATTTCTTAAAACCCCACCAACCGGTGTGTATTGCTGGAGTCATAGCACATTCGTGGTAAAATCGGATTGCTTACCCCGCTGCCTTAAGTTTTGCATGGGCTCCAGAGAGGTGTTACATATCTGCAAACTCTGACTTTTGGAACAACACTTTACATGTTAGAGCATTGCCAATTGTAGGCAGTAATTGTAAATCCACCTCCTTAAAATTACAAAGCTGTAGAGAAGATACACCTTTTTCTTTCTTTTCTCAAATTCCTGAGCCTGTGAAAACCATGGGATGATCTCTGCTTGTGTTTTGTACCTCTGAGGGTTGGGATTAGCAGAATGGGGAGGAGCTGGAGATTTTCGGGCAATTTCAGCCCAGAAATTGCGTCTTCAAGACGAAATGCATGATTTCTTTCTCTATTTAACTTTGATTTGCTGCTTCTGCACGCGTGTGAGTGTGTACCCACAGTCTTCCTTCATCACGGGCTGTTCGTTTCAGACGAAGCATTTGTGCTTTTTTTTTTGAGTTCTTATTTTAGATCAGCGTCAGTGGCTTTTTGAACTGTGACACTCGGCAGATATTTCTGCTGTGAAAGCATTTGTGAGGTGCTGCCTGTTTGATAAACGCTGACCGACGGGCATTATGAGCTTTGACTGATTCTCTGCTCCCGATTGTCCCGGCCCTGCTGGAAGAGAAGTCAGCAGCTTGTGGACATTATTTAGTTTTTAAATACCTCCGTGCAGTTGTGCCTGGGTGTGATTTCATGGGATGCGATGGGCTGAAAAGACAGGGTTTTGCTCTTCCTCGGCCACGGCTGCATGCTCCTGCTGCATCAAGCCACTTCCAGCACTTGTCAGAGCCTGCCGTGAACTCGTTTAACCTGCTGAAATGACAGTGGGGAAAAAAAAAAACCAGCTTCCTTCCTCCTCCTGTCCCCAAATTGCATCTCTTTCTGCTATTCTCGTGAATTGAACTGGCTCGCAAAGTGCTTCAGTAGGCAAAGGGAGAGTGGTATGAAGGCTGCCTTCCCTTTTTGGTGGCAGATAGCTGCTTGGTCGGCTCAGACGGCCGTGAAATCTCAGCACTGACCCCCCCTTTTAATCCCACTGCTGCCATACTGAGTGCTCCAGGGCACTAGAGCAAAGCCCATCGCCCGGGGCGGCAGTGAGAGTGTGGGGCATGTGCGGTGGGTGCAGCGGGTGTCTTGCCTAGGAGGGGAAAAGCTTACTGGTCCAAAAGGTGCTGTTGTTAAGACCATGAAGATTTGCATGATGCAATCTGCCCTGATTTCTCTAATCAACCCTTTTTTCTTTTTTATTACATCCTTTATTAAATGAAGGCTTGAGAATGACTTGAAGGGCTTTAAAAATTAATGTCATTACCTTTCTCATCCAAGCTGCTGCTCCAGGTCCCGGGTTACACATTTAAGTCAGATAACTAATTCTGGGGTGAGATCCCAGCCCTACAGTGCACCTCTGCAATGCTTGTTTCATGTGATGGGTTTTTTGCCTGACACGTCTAAATTGCAACTTGGGCGATGTGGGGGTTTCAGCCTGCGCAGGAGGAGAGGAGGGACGACCAGGAGCCAGACAGCAGAGACCTCGGGGGCACGGAAGGAGGGGAAGCGAAGGAAGAGTGCGCCAAGCCAGAGCCGAAACAAGAGACTCCGGAGACCAAAGCAGAGAAGGATTTGAAAGCTGCCCAGAGAGCAGTAAAAAGACACAGAAACATGTACTGCAAAGTCGTCTTGCTGGATGACACCATTTTTGAGTGCGCCGTGGATGTAAGTACTTTTGGGGTTTGTTCTGTTTCTCTTTCCCCTCTCCCTTCTCCTCCCCTTGAAAAATCACCACAAACACTATTTAATTGGGGTCTAATTTGCTGCCAGTGAATTACATGACAGGCTTTACTGCAGAACAATCTTCCTGTAAGCTATAACAGCTTATTTAGTGTGTTGTAAAAATCTCTGGGTGCCTAGGAATCTTTTTTTTTTTTAAAATTGTTCTACAATTTCCAGGGTGCCTTGCTTTGTAAAGGTGGGGGGAAGCTTAAAAAAAACCCCAGTTGTCTTACTTGCTATTAATCTTCGCTCTCATTTGTATCCCAGACTAGAGTTGAGGTTTTTGTGTTAGGTTGGAATTGCCTAAATATCTTCTGCCCCTTTCTTTTGAATAAAATGGGTTGTCAAGTTGATTTGTGCTTTTCTGTTCACCCAAGGTACCTTCACCTGTCAGGTTGGTGGCTAACATAACTCCTGGAGCTTGGATGTAAAGAAAAACATGCTGTGTTTAGCCTGCAGTTGAATATATTTGTAGTAAACAATTTGAAATTATTATGTTGACTTACAGCACTGCAAACCCCTTCCTCTGAGAGCTTTTCTTCTGCTTTATTTTGTGCATTCTCTCACAGGGCCGTCTTGCTGTCAGGGCAATAAAAAGCTCGCAGAAATCCCCATTTCAGTATTGAAGCACTTGTCCAGAATATTAATAATCCGGTACTTACCATTCGAGCATGCTTCCATCAGCTTGTTTTTCCCCAGTCCCGCTGGCTAAATGGGCCGGGAGAGGGTATCTGGGCGCAGGGCTCCCCGTGAAAGCAGTTACCTTGGGTGATCCTGGGCAAGTAGGTCAGTGTCGGCCGTTTGTGTAACGGCGTCGCTGCTGTTATTGCCCGGGATCAGCTCGGAGCATCACCGCCCCGATCGCCTTCCCCACCTGCAGCCAGCCTTTGCCAGGGATTTTGGGTGCAGCCCCCAAAAAGAAATTGTTCCCCGAAATGTTGGTGGCAGCTTGCTGTGGTTTTATGCATGAGTTTCCTGCAGCAATGCCTGCAAATGCCAGAGGGCTGCATGGGGGCTGTTGGTGGGAGAGCTGGTGGTGGTGTGGTTGGTCCTGACTTGAGCAGGATGTTAGAATTCTCTTTCTGTAGGTCCAGAGAGTGGTGATGGGCACTGCGGAGAGGATTAGGAGGGGCTGCTGTGTCGGTGAGACCCTCTTGACTTGACAAGTACCCTTGGCTTTAATGCTGACGTAATCCTACTCTAGCATTTTGAGAATTTATTAAGACTTAATTGGGAAGGAATTGCAAAGGTGTAGGCAAAGACCAGCACAAATGCCTTTATCCAAGAAGAATAAATGCTTTCAGGCATCCTTTCCAATTGACAGCCATGGAAGGTTTTTAATTCCTATATGTCTTTAAGTGCCAATTCCTTGAGAAATATCCCAGCTAACACATGCACTGTGTTACCTATGGAGTTGCAACATATGTACTGAGGACCTTAGAGCTGAAGGACTGGAATAAAACAGTTGCCGTGTAAATATGACTACAAGGAGAGATGCGGGCACAAGCGATGCATTAGTAAAGCTTATTTTGCATCGCTGGAACTGCGCTTTCTTTTCAGCCAAGCCTCCAATAGAATTAGCTGCTTCTGGTTACCATAGTTTTGTGCCTCAGGGATGTTTTCCTTCATGCTTTTGGACTAAAAGGGTATCTGTTCCTAGGGCCAGTTCACTTCTGCAGGATTTGGGAGAAAAAAAAAAAAGGAGATAGGAATGCTCAAAGAGTGTTTCTGGAGGCAAGAAGTTGTGTGCTAAGCAGCTTTTGGTGCATAAGGCAAAACTGGAGAAGCTGGGTTTCATCAGCAGATCGGGTTGATGAAAAGGCCATGGAAATGACGGTCTTTAGTTCTCAGATGCTGTTTCTTTTGTGACCCTACTGAGCCAGGTTGCCCCCAAAATGGGGGACTACAACCGTAGCAGCAGTTGCGTACCCCACGTTGATAATTTTTTGATCAACGTCTGATTGTCTGACAGCCTGGAGCTGGGAGGTGTCAGTGCAGTAGATGTACTTTGGGAGGGAAAATCCATACAAATCCTCGGTGTTTATTCAGTTGTGTTGAGAAGCTCAGCTTTGGAGAGGCTTCAGACACGGAGCTGGTGGTAGCAGAGAGACCCACTGCAGTTCCCATTGCTTCTCTGGCTTGAAATTTTATCCCTGATGCTCTTTCCTATAAGGGGTGCTTCCTCAGAAGCAGCCAGGAGATCTGATTTTGAGCTACTCAGGACTATTTTACCTTCTTGATAGTGTACAGTGTGGTTTGATTACATTCCCTTTCTCCTCTCTCCCGTGAACGAGGGCAGACAAAAACCAGCCCTTCCTACAGAATTTCTTTTGTCTATTTGCAGAAACACGCCAAGGGGCAGGATCTACTTAAAAAAGTCTGCGACCACCTCAATCTCCTGGAAGAAGACTACTTTGGTTTGGCCATATGGGATACGCCGACCTCCAGGGTAAGCAGCTGCTCTTGCGTGGTGGTCTGCACCCGGCTGGGTTCAGCTCTTTCAGAGGAACCTCTCTCCTGGGGAGGAGGTGGTGCATAAGCTCTTCTTAACACTCCTTTTGGTGTCCTCCCCAGAAAAGGACTAAGAGGGTCATCACAGAGGCAGAAATTGTGAATAAATGACTACAGGAGTGTGGCTTTTAGTAAAAAAGCTACGTGAACTTGTATCTTCACCTGGAGAAAATTCATTGTATTAGTTTACCGCAAAATGATGCCGTTAATTTGTAAAGCTATAGCTCAAGAAGTTAGGGGAAGATAAGGCTTTTCCCACTATAGAAAAGCAGCAGGTTTTTTAATTGTGATTTTAAGAATAGGTTAACTGCTCTTAGGCTATAGAAGATGAGCCTGAATGTCGACACGCTGCAGAGGAACGTCACAGTCCTGGAGCCTGTGTTCACCAAAGGCGTAAGGCTGAGCAGTCAGCAGGAGTAAAAGCTGGCAGTCTGGCACTGGTGTCATTTTTTGTAAGGTTTGGTCACAGCCGTCCAGAGCAGTTTGGAGTCCGGGCTTTGCCCTGTGAAAAAACACCCGTGACTCGTCATACCAAAACCCTTACTCATATGGTTTCAGTTTAAGGTCTTTGTTTGGTTAGACTCAAGCAGTGTCTTATCTTTTAAACCCTTGGTTATGCTTTAACTCAAGCAATTACTCAAGCTCTGTTTCATGAAGCTAGCCAAAAGTGTTCTAAATTGAAATCAAGGGCCCACTTTTATGTCCGTTAGACCAGACCACATTCTGACTATTCCCATGCTTCACCTACAGCAGTCACTTATGGGCCAGGTTACGATGGCTGACAGACGTTTGTCTTTAAATGCTTAATAATTGCAAGAGTGAATTTTTAATACACCGGCACAATAACACCCCATCGCTATTGGAGGCAGGCAGAGCTCTGTCTTGCGTTTGTTTTACTGTCTCTGGTGTCTTGCTGTTTTCTTGTATGTGAAATTCGCTTCCATGTATATAGCCTGGATTTTTTACTCTAGGAGTTTGTTGTGCTTGCAGAGGGAGGGATAGGTGTACTTTTAGATCCAATTAAGAGCAAAAAGAGTTTAGCTGGAGCAGCTCAACTTCTCACACTTGTGCTGTGGGTAGCTCACTGCCGCACCTCCAAGACCCCCGGGACTTGCTCTTCTCGTGTCCAGGCGTGCTGGCGTCCATTCTTCCGAAAGCAAAAGCGTGCACCTCTTTCCCCCCCCCGCTGACAAGGGCTAAGGGCTGTGCAGCTTTTTAACTGTAGGGACTGAAAACGGTTTTGTCCGATTTGTGTCCCAGAGCAGGGAGCTGAGGAAGGTAAAGCCGCTGTGCGTGAGTTTAGCTCCAGTGCAGAGTAAGTTGCTCGGTGGAAGTCTGGTTTGCGCTGATGGGGGAAAACACCATTTTTGGGTTTTTTTGGAAATCTTTCTGGTTATGTTTCATTGAACTTTGAAATCTGAAGCTCCATCTCTCTCTTGCTGTAACTTCAAACAAGAGCTGACACTGAGTTACTGATACACAGGTAGAAATGACCTTAATAGGAAACCGCCAGATGAGCTTCTGCACCTCACCCGCAGCTGTACGGAGCAGGCGGAGATGTGTATTCCTCGACAGGGAAGGGTTGTATGTGGGATTTTCCACCTTGGTATTTAGGGAATAAACGTTCCTGGGGATGGGCATTTTCCCACGTGGGAATAGCAGAGGGTGACAGTAGGAATAGGAGATGGTGACAGTGGATAGAGCAGCTGATCAGCACCGAAGGAGCTTGATGCTCACGCTGCTCTGAAAGGAAATATGTTTTCCACTGATTCATGACACAGTGTGGATAAAAGTGCCGTTAATTGCTGTACCCGTCATTGTCTGGATCGGGCTGGGTGAGTGCCGGGGATGCACGACTGCACCCTGGGCTCGGCTGCCCGAAACCCAGCGTTATCACTGCGGTAACGAGCAGTCATGGCACCAGCGTAGACATAGAGATGCTCTGCTTAAAACGGTGGCTGTAAAAAGACAGCAAGTGGCATGTCTACCTTTCAAATGGATTTCGTATCCCCAGTTTTATGGGTTAGAGGGGCAAGCATATAAAAAGATAAGATTAAACGTAAGTATCGCTGTCTCCCTGCCATGAAATTACGTGTCCTTCTGGTCAAGACAGATTAGCTTGGGGGATTCAGTGAGTTAATTCCTTCACCTCGGGAGACCTGGACGTCCAAATCCTGCTCAGGGCTTGTGAAAATGAAGAAGGTGGTTTAATGTAGCCTTTCCAGGAGGGCTGTTAGCACCGCGCCGTCGCCTTCAGCGGGGCAGACCCTCACCTCTGCAAAGGGAATGGCTCAGTCTCGACATGCCGGGAGTTGCTCAGATCGTGCTGGCAAAAGCAGGAGTTGTTTTTGAGGCTTATGTTGCACCACCATCCCACAAAACCCCAAATTACAGAGGGGGGGGAAAAAAGGATATATTTCTAAATTTGTAGCTGAGATAATTACTAGAAACTTGAGTCATACTTAAAAGAGACGAAGTTTATGTCATGCTCCTGTAAAATATTCCAGCCTTCCCCAGCGATTGGATGTTTTCACTTGTATTTCAGGTCGTTAAAAACCATAGCTAATAATAGAAAGTCTTCGCAATCTTTGTTCTGAAGAGGGCAAGTATGGAGACAGGGTGCCTCAAATGAATGCAGACATCCTATTTGCCTATTTTTAAAGGTGCTGGAGAAAAAAAAAATGTGTTGCACAATTGCCCCTTGTAGCTGGATGTGGCTGCGACCGCACCTGCTGCTGTGTGCTTGCAGCCCTAATATGCTGCTTTTTTTTTTTTTCCTCCTGTTCCTCATGCCTCTGCTACGAGTACCCCGTAGGTGAAGGGTTGGAAATGCACCCACCGAGACCACAGACTGGAGTAAAAGTTGTGAAAAATGCGCCGTCTCCCCAGTTTCCATGGCTGTGTTTGTGTCAAATGTTGTCTTTTTGCCGTATTTTTAGCGATTTGCAGTTTTCTGTGGTGTTTCTGGAATGTCTGTTAAAGTGTGAATGTTTTTATCCTCTTACAGACATGGCTGGATCCTGCCAAAGAAATAAAAAAACAGGTTCACGGTAAGTAGATCGAATTTATCATGCGGGTGTGTGTGGTTTCTCTCTCCTTCCCTAAATAAGTGTGGCTTTGGCGGGCGATCTGGGGGCCCGAGGATGGGTGAGAGTTCGAGTGAGGGTGTCTGGCAGGGATCAGCACAAGTTCAAGCAGCCTGTGCATCCTTCTTCTTCTTCTTAAGTACTTAGTGATGCTCTAGATTTAGGAAAAAGTGTAATTTCCTTGGGAAAACGTAACTTGGGGTGTGTTTGCCTTATGCAAACCCATGCTATCCTTACTACCGTGCGACGCTGAAACAGGAGATCTGCTCCCTGTTGGAGGATGGGAAAATAGATGTCAGTGGGAACCATTTAAATCTCAAAGGACATTGGGAGAGCCTGAGCAAAATCGCTTGCTGTAGCAAGGTTTTATGGACTCTGAGGCTGTTTCGGGGTCCAGATAGGGGTACTGGAATGATAAATGGCTCGAGTAGTATCAGGGCAAATGCCAGATGCTCTCCAAAGGTCTGCTAACACTGAATTAGTTCAAGATGAGGGCAGCATCAAATAAATTTTAGAGGCTTTTGTTTTCTCTCAGGAGCAAGCCTGACTGCTTTGAAAGTAAAATACTGTTTTACAAAAGTAAAATACTGTTTTACGTATGCCTTTGGTGGGGTTGGAGAACAAAGTATGTCATTAAGTACTGATTAGGGGGGAAATGCCGCGGGGCTGTGGAGTAGGAACAGCTCCTGCTCTTATCAACTTCTCTTTGAATCGATAGCAGGATGTGTGTAAAGGGCATGAGCCGCTCCTGCCATGCAGGTAAAATTCAGCTTGTAAGTGTAATGAGCAACCTGCTGTGGAATCTGGTCCCCGGAGATGAGTTAAATGGCAAATTATTTGAGTTTACTTGAATATATGAATGTATGTACATATGAATGTATGTACACCAATAGATGTTGTTGTACATATATAGAGAGTCAGTCTCTGCATCCTCCTTGCAATACGTAGGAAACCTCTGCTACCTAAAACGTCTTCTTGGAATAACTTGTTTTGAACTGTGTATAGTGAAAACAACATGCCTTGTGTTTAATCCCAGTTATGGTGTTGCATAAGAAGTAAATCCATGAATGCTACATCCCCGCTTCTCCCTGTTTGAGATTGTGATAAATCTCTGAGCAAGTTAAAGCACAGGGGTATCTTCTCTTTCTGAAATAAATATTATTTTGAACTAGTGTTAAAGGGGACAGCGGGGGGGAGTTGTAACTATGAAAATTACTTTGAGTGCTTAATGGGTCGGTCAGGACTATTTTCTGTGGGTAAACGTGATTATTTTCAAGAAAAAGAGAGAGCAACCCCTTCAGCTGTGTCACCTCGACTGCCCGTACCACATATAATGCCAATTCTAGGTGTGAGCATGTGGATTCTCACTCCGGTTAATACCTGTGACGGTGCTGTACAAGGTTTGCAACAAGCTATGTTAAAGCATTTAGATCTGAAAGCTCTTCTTGTCTCAGTGCTTGCTGTTTCTTCCAGAGATTGATGCTCCTATTGTGCTGAGTTCAAACTGTGGTCTGACCACCCGACCACAGTGCGTTAGGCTGCTGAGTGAATTAGCACATCTGCTCCTGACGAGAAATTTGAAAACTGGGTTGAGTGATAAAACAATACTAATTCATTAACTTATAGCACACGCCTGACCTCTCTTCATGAATCTTTTTTTTTCAATCAGTGAAAAAATATGTGAGTAATTTAGCCTCTTGGCAATGAATTTCATTTTTTCCACAAGTTGTGGTTTATTCACGTGTATTTGCCTGCCCTGCTTTGTTTTCTCCTGCTTGTATCTTAGCTCTTGTAAATGAAAACGTATCTTACGCCATCTGCTAAGCAGCGAGCGAGCAGTATTAAAATCAGTACTCTGATCCGCTGGCCGTATTTTGAAGATTAGACTGGATATCGCCAGCTTTTTTGTGACGACTGACTATCATGAAGCTGTTCTGGTCTGTTTATTTTGCTCAACCTCTTCTTTGTAATTGCAGGAGGCCCCTGGGATTTTACCTTCAATGTCAAGTTTTATCCACCGGATCCCGCACAGCTGACAGAGGACATAACCAGGTGAATTGCAGA